AAGTAACTCTTCGGCTTCAGCACTCGTCAGGCCATTTGATGGCGGTAGAATTGGCACTTCATCAACGTCGTCTTCATTGTGCTCGGTAATGGCCTTGGAGAGAACCGACTGACGCCTCTTCGGCTTCTGTGGTGGGAGCTCTTCGTCGGGATAGCCACCATCGCCGTTCTTAAACACCGTCTCCTCGTTCTTATTACTCATGTTTGCACTCATGTTTGCTCCTTAAATTGATTCGCGCTACAAAAAAAAAAAAACAACAACTTACCACTAGTAGTAAAGGTTGGGTTAACGAGAGAGAAGCCAGAACTGTTTTTGGTTGTGACACTGTTGCAAGCCATGTTCGCAGGCAATGCGGCGTGTATCAATGTTTCCTGTACCCGTTACATTAATTCTTTTTGCCTGTGCGTTATTTATAATTGCTTTTGATGTCGTCCATAGCTTCCACCGGTTTGCCTTCTTACAGTTAGCAGAGTTTTGGAGGAAGCACAAATTATTTGTCTTCTTAGACTTTATTAATGGCGTCCCCAACCCTTTCCATTGCCCCACAGTTGGTGTGAGTAAATCACAAAAATAAAAGGAACACAAAAGCACGGAATAAGTGGTAAACAGGACAACTAAGGTGGGGTTTCATGCGTGTAAGGCCGTACACCCCCACCCCTCGACGGTTCCCCTTTGCTAGTACTGCGGCAAACAAAGACGGAATACGCAGAGTTATCTTCGTATTTCGTGCACCCCTTTCGCAGTTTTATCCCAAATTTACGCGATAGCGTGTCAATCCGCATCTTTCCTTGCTTATTTTATTAACCCTTATTATTTTATTGCCTCCCCCCCCCCCTCCCTCTTTTCTCCGCTCTACACAATTTGGCTCAACAGCCGTGCTGCACAGCTATGACCTTTAAAATGAAGGTAACTGCATTACATATGAACTTAATAAATTCGACCGCACATTTCTGCCTTTGTTTCTTCTCCCTTCATCACAAGCACCACGGCGTCGCTTCAGTCTATTAGCTTTCCTCGGTAAATTTAAGGGCAACATACAACAACGAAAAACAAGTACAAGAGAAAATAGAAATAAAAAATAACTTAGATCAAGGAAATACATCGCTAACTGTAAGTAAGCTTTTGACACCGTGGTGAATCTGCACGTCACAAGCTCATTCAACCAAAGAACATACGTGCTTAAACCACTCGGCAAACTACAGATCATACTATTCTATAGTACCCCCAGCGACACCGCACAGAAACAAGTCCAAAAGGAAGAACATTGGGCAGAGTTACTGCTATTTTTATACAAGGTACACACAAATAAAAAAAAAAACAGTTACACCGCAGGCTCATTTGACACTTTTCTCGGATCCGAACTACATGTTCCGT